ATTTTTACATGAAAATTATAGATCTCGTCGTCCTCTACAAGAAAGGCTATATGCAATTTTTCCGTATATCCAACGGTTTAGGAGTTATTGGCCAAAAACGAAAATTTGGAAGAAATTGAAGGGGAAAATCTCGGAAAAATCGAAAATTTTTTTTGTTGTTTATTATTAGCAATGTTCTTCCGACGTCTGATTTCTTTTTAAAAAATGCATTTCTAAAGTGCATAAACTTTTGGGATTGACTGTATAGCCAATATATCCTTAAGGACGAACGGAGCGCGCGCGATCCAAATGTTGACACCGCGATCGCTTTATCAGCATCCAAGGCTTGTCGAATGTTCATCGGGGGTATCCCCACGCATGGTACATATAAAAGCGAATGAACGATGTCTATCAGCGGAGATCGGGGAACGTTAGGTGTCGAGCATTTCTCGTTACCGTGTCGCTACGGCGCGAAAGTACTTAAAAAAGTATTCATCGTCTCACGTGTACACGCCTAACAGGAATGAAAACAGAAACGGTGAGTGATGATTGATCGTGATTCATTCCCCACTTACCTACGTACGTACATAACAATTTTAATGTTCGCGGAACTAATTTGCAAATGGCAACAGTGTGTTTGAAACGACACTTCACGGAAATACTGGCTGTAACTTAATTAGTTATCGAAAATGAATCATACAAGAATAGAATAGAACGATCACACTTGACTGTACAGCTACCTCGTAATCCTTTTGTTTCGTTTTTAGAATAGACTTTGTAAATTTTTTAAACGAAACTGAAACTCCTCTCTGAGTCATCCCTTTGAACCGCGACGCAAGAGTTGTGTTACGGCTTGATTGCGATTTTTCAAAGCAGCGAACAGCGGTGATAAGAGAGAATTTTACTCACGCGATAAGAGCCGCGGATGTAAAACGCTTAGGAACTAATCCGTCGCTATCTGCGATCGTAGAAACGTTGAACACGAATCATTACTTATGGAAATTCGGTAGAATAATGAAGAGCGGAACGGTCATCGAAATCCGGCATTCGTTCCGGACGAGAAAGATGAAAATCCGGTTGGCGAAGATGAAAAATCGATCTCTCGACGCTCGGATGCAGAGGAATCGGTGATTAGACACACGTGGAACAACGAGATCGAGTTCCTCATGTCCTGCATCGCGATGTCCATCGGTTTCGGAAACATCTGGAGATTCCCGTTCACCGCCTATGAGAACGGTGGCGGCGTTTTCCTGATACCGTACGTCATCATCCTCTTCATCGTCGGGAAACCTTTCTACTATTTAGAAATGATCATAGGACAGTTCTCCTCGTCCTCTTCGATCAAAGTTTGGAGCCTGTCACCCGCGTTCGTTGGTAAGCGCACCGGTTCCAGAACTGACATAATTCGTAGGTACCATTTATCTCGTCGTCGTTTCAGGTGTCGGATGGTCCCAGTTCTGTTCGACCATCGCGTTGATGACTTATTATAGTTCGCTGATGGCTTTGACGCTTTTCTTTCTGATCGCCTCGTTTTCCACCGAGTTGCCCTGGGCAAAGTGTCGAGAAGGATGGGACAACTGCTTCGATTCTAGCGGCAGTAATGGCAACACGTTCGCCGAACTTCTGAGTGGAAGCGGAGTAAATAAGAGAAGCTCGGCGGAACTCTATTTTCTGTAAACGAACTTTAAAGAAAATGATTCGTACGCTATGACGTAAAGCGATATGTCAAAATGTATGGATGATAATTGCAGCAAAGTTGTCCTCCGAGAGAAGGATAGTATCGACGATGGGATCGGGTTGCCAAGTTGGGAGTTGACGCTTTGCCTGCTCGTCAGCTGGGCGACGGTCGTTCTGGTCACGTTCAGGGGTGTGAAGAGCTCCGGCAAAGCTTCCTATTTTCTCGCGATCTTCCCGTACGTGGTTCTGATCAGTCTGTTGATCAGGGCAGCGACTCTGGAAGGTGCTGGCACTGGAATCTTGTACTTCGTCGAACCGAAATGGAACAAGCTGTTGGAGCCAGAAGTTTGGTACGCAGCCGTCACCCAATGCTTCTTCTCCCTTTCAGTTTGCTTCGGGGCGATCATCACGTATTCGTCGCACAATCAATTCAAACACAACATTTACAGGTACGACCATATTTCTTCTTAGATGCGAAGGACATAATTTGCAGCTCTTTTTTTATGCAGAGACGCGATGATCGTGACCACGCTCGACACCGTGACGAGTTTCATAGCGGGATGCACGATCTTCGGAATTCTCGGTAACTTGGCCCACGAGATGGGCGTGGAAAATATCGACGAGGTAGTCAAGTCCGGGGCTGGCTTGGCCTTCATCTCTTATCCTGACGCCATAGCAAAGTTCGAGTTCCTGCCGCAAGTAAATCGAACGAAAATATATACGGTCCGCTTCGGTTCTCGGAGACGAATTTGCACCTAGATTTCCTTCACGTGCATCTTCCCGTAGCTCTTTTCAGTACTGTTTTTCGTGATGATGTTCGTTTTGGGAGTGGGCAGCATCGTGGGGATGGTATCCGGGGTGATAGCCTGCTTGCAAGACAAGCTTCCGCGTTTGAAAATTTGGATGATCGTCGTCCCGGTTTGCCTGATGGGTTTCGCCGTCAGCACTATCTACGTCACACCGGTACGTAACGAATTGCAGAAATAGCATGATCGTCACAGCGTTACAGCTAAACGTCTCATTTGTACTCGTCACGCTCAGGGAGGTCAATTTTTATTAACGCTGGTCGATTACTACGGCACGTCGTTCGTCGTGTTCATCTTGGCTTCGTTCGAGATCACCGCCATAATGTGGGTCTACGGTTCGTACGGTCATTCCTATATCATTTTGGAACGAATTCTCTCGGAATACATTATATCGTCGTACGTGTTTTGAACAGGCTTAGAAAACTTGTTGGACGACATTGAATTTATGCTAGACAGGAAAACGAGCTGTTATTGGAAGATCTGTTGGATGATTGTCACGCCGTTCATTTTGATCATAATTTTCATTTACACCGTTGCGACCCTTTCTCCGTTGACTTACGGCGACAGAAGTTATCCGGCATCGGCCCACGCAGCTGGCGCTACTCTACTTTGCTTCAGCGTTCTCCAAATTCCATTTTGGATGATCGTCGAGATGCTCAAAAACAGACATCTCCCATTTTCGCAAGTACGCATATTTGCAATCCTCTACGATTCCTGTTTCCAATCTTATTGTAATCTAATTACGTGCTCGTGTCGCCAGAATTTGAAAGCGTGTTTCCAACCAACGAAGGAATGGGGACCGGTGGAAACAAAACATAGAAGAGCCTGGCTACAGTTCAAAGAAGAGAAACAAAAAGAGAGGATGTTTAGGACAGGGCCGAGGTGGCTGCAATTAGCGAACATCCTAATTGGTAGAAACGAAGAAAAGCACGTTGGAGACTGACACGGAATCTCCTAGGACATTATTTTCATTTCGATCGCCATTAAAAAATATATACGACCATGCCTCGATACTTTTTTTATATGTATTCGAAATAGACGGTATCTTCGGGAATAGATGATAAAAGATTTCTATCAATGCTGCCTCTCCATCTAATTTATCTCTTGAAAAGTCTTATCTAAAAATCGCTTTTAAGAATGTTTCGAATCTGTAAGTGCGGCGGTATATAGGAAAAATGAGTAAATTATGGTTAATGAACGACTGAGAAAAGATTTTGGCGTTTTTATTTTATGAGCCTGGGTGCACAAGATCGAAAATCCCTGGCCTGTGCAATGAGACGAGAACGCGAGACCATAAGATCGGTCTACTTGTATATCTCGTCCGTGGTCACACGTGCCTCGAGATAATTAACGAAATGGGTTATCCTGGTTATTAAGATAAACGGATTAAGATCGTCATATAATAATTTAGATTAGACCGTTGGTGTCGAAATTTCGTGTGGAATGTATAAAAATATTCGTAAAATTTCAGGTTCCCTCATAACCGAGAAGAGACGCGATCATCGCAAAGTTGTACCGAAAAAATGTATAAGCCACGTGATGGTTGAATTATCCGATACGATTATATCGAGGAATTCGATAACAGTAGAGATATCACGCGTTCAGAGCTGTTTCAAAAGTTTTTATTTCATCTGAAAATCGTTTGGACGAAACCGCCTTGTCGCTGGAATTTCTTTTCGGCAACAAACTCTTTCCATTTCGAGCGAATGTTCGGATCTTTCGGTCCCCATTCCTCTTCGTCCGGTCTGAAAGCTGCTTTGATAGTCTACGACAGAAGAATTGGATCACTATATCTCTCACCGTCGATAAAGGATCACCGGTCGCTTACCTCTATCAATGACGACGATCTGACCTCGACACATTTCTGTATTATAAAACCGACAATGACCGCGATTCCCACTGCCAGTAAGGACCATCCGATTCCTGAAACAATCGTTCCCGTTATGTATAGTTACTTCCCTCGAAACGAGAAACGAAACTGAATCGAAATCTACTGACCGAGAGCATATGTTGGAAATTGTACACCGTCGTATGTCGGCGACTCGTAAGTGGCAATCGTATACACCAAGATAATGATCATCAGTATCGGAGTGATTAAAGCCCAACAGACTCTCCAATAGATGGACGATCTCTGACCCAACATGAACTCGACGTCGTTCAAGAAGTTCGTCAGACCGTAGATCCAGAAGACCGCGGTAACTTCCAAAACGCCGACGATTATCGCAACGAACGTTCCGCCATAGTAATCGACCAGTGTCGTGAACCATTGGCCGCCCTTACGTCAACAAATCACGTTAGGACCGTCGAATCGGGCGAGAATTAAACGAGAGACTTACGGGTGTGATGTAGACCAAACTGACGAGGAATCCGACGACAGAAACGACGGCGACCAACTGCCAGTGTTTCACGTTTGGAAAATGATCGCAAAGTATACTGAAGATCGCTCCGCAAAGCGCCACAGCGCTTCCAGTACCCAGCACGTACATCATCACGAAGAACAGAACGGAAAAAAGTTGCGGTATCACGTCGAATCGCGACAGCGCTTCCGGATAGGAGATGAACGCCAAACCGGTGCCGCCTCGCACCACCGTTGATATATCCTTGGTGCCCATCTCGTGAGCCAAATTGCCGAGGATACCGAAACTGGTGAAACCAGCTATCAGACTGGTGATCGTGTCCAACGTAGTTACTATCATCACGTCTCTGGAACGATTCGAAACCGTCTTCTCATGTCGCGCGAACATACTTATCATTGTTAGTCAAAATCTTCTTTTCTATTTCGTCTCTCTCTCTCTCTCTCTTACCTGCTTAGCTTGTGCCTGAAATTGCTGTACGACGAATACGTGAGGATCGGACCGAAGCAAACGGACAACGAAAAAAAGCACTGTGTGATAGCCGAGTACCACACGGTCGGTTGCCATAGTTTTTCAAAGTGCGGCGTGACGAAGAAGAGAATTCCGTCCGCCGCGCCCTCCAAAGTGACCGCTCTAATTAACAAAGCGATCAGTACGACGTAAGGGAATAGTGCAAGGAAATAGACTGCCTTTCCCGTGCTCCTGACACCGCCGCAGAGCACGGCAAAGATCGTCGCCCAGCTTATGAAGAGGCAAATGACCAGCTGCCAAGACGGAGTACCGATTCCGTCCTCGATCGAGTTGTATTCGTTCAACACGATTTTCCTGAAATACAATTCCGCCGAGCTGCGGAGGGTGCTGTTGCCGACATTCGGGATAGTCGAGTTGGTACCTTCCAAGCCCTTCGAAGGGATGCACTGACCTTCCCAGTCGCTTTGACAGTAGGACCAAGGCAGTACGGCCTGGAAACTAGCGACGAGGTAAAAGAGAGTCAAACCCATTAGAGAACAGTAGTAAGAGACGACGCACGCGGCTGCGATAGCTTGTCCGTACCCCAGACCTGGTTCGTCGCGAAAAAAAGAAATTAATATCGGAATCGCGGATCGTGAATTCGTCGTTCGTCGAATTATCACCTTTCATAGCCGGCACCACGGCCCACAGTTTCACGCAAGATTTATTGGTGAACTGCCCGAGGAGAGCCTCCAAAAGGTAAAACGGTTTGCCGACGAATACCAACACGATTACGTAGGGTATCAAAAAGGCGCCACCCCCGTTTTCGTACGCGGTGAACGGAAATCTCCAAACGTTTCCTAGACCCACGGAAGTCGCGATACATGCCATTAAAAATTGTAGTCCCCCTCCCCATTCGTCTCTCTGCGGAATAAAAAAATAACGTCGAAGGGCGCCCACGTACCCATCCGTACGGAAAAGAAGGAGAAACGTACGCTGGGAGCACTCTGGTCCACAGTTTCCGTTTGCAAGTCGGACTTCTCTTGCGACTTCTCGTGAACTTTTGCTTCGGGACAAGCCTCGTCCATTTGAAACGACTCGTTCGTGTAACCATTTTGCCTCTGCAAACGATCTGCTCATTAAGCGAAACTGTTATTACCGTTCCATTTAATAGGATCTCTCGCGAAATATCTCACGTAGGTTCCGTTCTCGATCTTGTCCATCTCCTCGGCGTTCAAAATTCGGAAGTCCTCTCGGATTTTTCTTGTTTCCGAAGATTGCGAGTTCGAAAGTCACTGTTACCTTCTCCTCTCGAGTATTAAATGCACACCGTCCTATTTTATATTATTTCCATTTGACAAAAATCGTTCATCGTCTCCAACGATTCCACGAAGAAGTCGGAAGCTGCACGAGCCGCCAGCTACGACTGCACAGAAACAGTCCGCGCGAAGTGGAGCAGGTGAGTTTTAACGGCGCTCGCGGAGTTGATTAGATACGTTCGCGTCGGTGTGCATACGTTTCGTGCGTCGAAATTCATCTCCGTGCAATGCCGATGCACGTGCCGATAATAACTGCCGGAGACGTGCGGCTAAAAACAGCGAGACAGACGCAATGATAATCGCGCGGCGCCGCGAACGATGTAACTTTCTTGCCTAAGGATCAAACGCTGGATGAACTATCCTAAAAGTTCGCGGATCTAATTCGTTATTAACGAGAAATAGGCGAAATAAAATACGTATACAAAAAATGTTAAAGATAAAATGAGTTCGTAGAATGTGGCGACGGATAATCACACGGCTTTACGAATAGACGGTGTTAATCCTTTAATCGGAACCGCATCGTTTAGGTGTCGCGTAAAGAAAGTTCGCAACGCAGTTACATTTCTTCGCTTTCAACGTTCTCTACTGAATTACGTTCACCATGGCAGGTCGTGCGATCAAAATCCTTGAACGATATTAAAGCGTATCAGCGCGCATTCGTTGCTAATAATTACGATACCGGTATATTACAGCCTTGCGATCGGAATGCCTATTCTTGTTCCATATGCATATCGCAACTACCGTACAATTGCTGTTCGCGGTTATTGACGACTTTAAAATTATATGGGAGTATGGCGATTCGTCCTGCCACCGTACATTATCCACGCCTAATCGTTTCATTTAAGTTTATCACAGCTCCGTGCTATGTTTTACACGTATTTGACCTATTCCCTGATAAAACAATTCGTTATCATCGAACGCGGCTTTCCTTCTTAATCAGGAAATGATCGCTAGATTATGTTCTTAACCGCGTGCAATACATGTACGCACAATGTGCATGCAGTATCCAATATAAAATACATGACACGTGCGTATACTGTATTATACTACTGTGCGTAATCCCATTCAATCCATCTATTCGGAATCCATGACATCCGCTGATACCTGAAATATTTGCTGGATCGATTTCGCAACGACAAGTGACGGTAAAGTCACCGTCGCGAAGCTTTTGTCAAATTTCCGGTCGATCGACGGGGCAACACGAGGCTTTTCTCTTTTCTAGCGAAAGATGATTTAACAAATTCGACGGAGATACCCCGAAAGAGACGAGCGACGGCACAGGCCAGACGATGATCGATCAGTGGCAATCGATAATGGACAACCTGAGCGACATTTACTATCTCGTGCGGCTGATTATCCGTCAAGTTTCCATCTACTTACGGGTAGGATAATTAACCTGCTCGTTACGAGACGACCGAGCGATGAGATCATCGGCGGTCGAGGGACGAAGGACGAAATAAAGTATGATCGTTGCGCATTCCGCAGGATCTGATTCTCTACAAATTCTTTTGGATGGCTGCGAACGCCGACGAGTTCGAAGCTGCGGAAACGAAGCTTCGCGGACTGACGTTTAGGAACATGATAACAGACATCGTGGCGTTCTCGGTCATTTGCGTCGTTCTCTTCCTCCTCGTGCTACTGTCGTCCAAATGCGAGAAGGAGGACGGTCAGCTTTACACGGCCACAGGCATAGAAACGTTAGTCATCTCGTAGACTTATCCGAAAGGAAAATTGACTTCTAGACGAACTAAGACTCGATGACAGCGAACTCGGAAAAAGTTCCGACTCAGCTCGCGTCCTCGGCTCGTTTCCAACCGGAGTTTGTCCGAAACTGATTTTCCCACTGAACAGAGTCAGCGTGAATCTCCCGGAGGATCCTTTCCGCGTTTCGGACACGAGTTCCACTACCCTAGACTGCTTCCACGCCTGCGGAGACTCGGCCTACCCTCGTCGTCCGAGGATCCCGAAACGGAATTACTCAGACGAGGACGTCGTCAGGGTTCGATCGAACAGCGAAAAGAGGAAGACGCGGATTCAGAAGAAGTCGATATTCGCGTTGACCGCTGCGATTCTACCGCAGAACTCGCAGAGCACGCAAACTACCGACAAATTGTTCGTTCGTACTAGCCAGAGATGGCTGATCAGGCGAACGAGGAGCGGCCACGTTTACGGAAAGTATCCGATATAACGTGTTCAAATTTAGAAACACGTATATATATATACATACGTACATCTATCGTTTCGACCAAGAAAGCGAAAAAAGAGAAATGAGACTTCCGTGAAAAAATCGCGTGTCTGAAAAATCGGTAGAACTACGAGGATTCATAGAGAAACGAACGTAGCTATGTGGACTCTGTCCGCATCGTACTTTGTACAGTTTGTATATACATCATCCCACGCAATTTAAACGAAACGTCATCGTCGGGAGCTCGCAAGTAAGTCCTAATTGTTTGGCAGGAGGCAACATCAACGAACAAACTATCAAAGATATCCTTCAACGATATTCGTGTTCGTACGTCCAACAAAAGTATATATATTTTGTTATCAGCCTTTTTCGTAGCATTTTTTTTTAATTTATTTAAGTTGTGACAAAGTGCACACCAAGCCATTTATTTTAATCAGACTTTTGATGATCGACTTGTCATATCTCTATGTTGGTCAAGGGCATAAGTTTTTATGGTGTCTATTTTTTTTTTTGGAGATGGTTTTGTATTTTTATTCCTGTTACGAAATTTTCTTTACACTCGTACGATCCTATTTCTTCCGTCGTTTTATATACCGTTGTTGTATAGCATGTTGTGCGGTACCAATTGCGTGTATGCATGTACAAATAAATGCAATTGATTTACACGTCTGTCCCATTGATTGTCACGGGAAACTAAACGATCATTGTTCGTTATCGACGAATGATTAATATCGGGTATGAAACCTGAATGACGTTCCTGTATCACAGGATTAGATCAGACGAGATTAAATCGAATCCAATGATCCGTTAATCGGGTATCTTCGATTTCGACGAAATAGATACGTATAGCCAGAGATAAGTCATAAAAATCTAGATTAAGTGTAAAAGATAACGACAAACAACGACGTATGTATGTTTCTAAACAGTTTCGGTATCTCCTATGGATCGATCTTGATGCATCGATTTCATTTTCGGAAATGAATAAGTTTCGAATATTTATATAATACTTACTGTTATGATGATAAAAGACATTAATTACGTAAATGCTCCGAAATTTGGTAAGAAAACCGTGTTTCAATACATATCTACTGTCTCCTTCTAATGCACTATATTTCTTCTGCAACTTCCGGTTTAGATCTCTTCTGCGACAGCCAATATGAATCGCGGACGCATTTTACAGTCCCTTCCTGGTGAGTCCCTAGAGACGATGATCTAGCCAGCGTTCATCGATCCGCTTCGGAACCATGGAAACAGCCGACAGTGAGAATTCAAAACAATCATCCATTGAAATTCACGGTTCGCCTACCGACTTTTGCCACATCCAGCCACGTCTGAATCGACAGGCGTTCTTCGACGATGGATACGAAGGACAGCAGCGAGGAAGAGGAGGAGCGGAATGTGTCGTCGTTTACAAAATTCGACGAGAGTATCGTGGTAAGAAACGCCGAGGAGATAGAAAGCCCGGTGATTCGTAGACCGACCAGCTCCAGACGATCCAGGCAACGTCCGACGAATCCGAACGAGAACACCTCTATGGGGGTGAACTCGCCGAGGGATAAACTGTTCGGAAGGTAGAAAAGAATCCTGCGATTTAATTGACCCTGGCGACGTCGAGGTGCGCTTGCAGGTACTCCGACCGCGATAACAGCTTCGGAAAGTCGATGGTACTGAACAGCGATCCCTCGGACAGCGAGGAAACCGATGACGACGACATACAGGGAACGAGCAACGCTCAGCTCGTCGAGATTTACAATCCTAAGGATTTCGAGGATTTGGAAGTATCCATGGAAGCGAAGGAACTGTTTCAGAACATAATGAGGTATTCGAGCGATGTCTAAGTACCGCGTATCCACGCGAAACGCGTGCGATTCAATTATCTAATCGGCCGTGAAACGGGAATAATCGTGTGACGTTTACCTCTGTTCAGGTACACTCCGCAAAAGGTAGAGCTGAACTATAAGCTAATACCGTTTATACCCGATTATATCCCGGCTGTCGGCGACATCGACGCGTTCATAAAGATCCCGCGACCAGACGGCGTCGAAGATAAAATCGGTTTGACAGTACTGGACGAGCCGTGCACCGATCAATCAGACCCGGCCGTGCTTCATCTGCAATTGCGCAGCCACTTGAGAAGCGCGGGTGCAGCCAGGCAGGCGGTGATAAAACGAGTCGAGGACGCAGAGAAGAACGGGAAATCCATCGAGAAGTGGATAGAGGACATAAATCAGCTTCACAGAAGCAAGCACCTGCCCGCTGTTCAATTGACGAAACCGATGCCAGACATCGATTCGTTGCTTCAGCAGTGGCCGCCGGAAGTCGAGGAGAAGCTGAACGAAGCCGAGCTCGACTTTACCCGTTTGAACTGCGATCTACCGGAACTGGTCGATCTCGTCTGTAATCTCCTCGACATTCCTTCAGAGGAAGACGACAGATTAGAAGCGTTACACACGCTCTTTACGCTTTATCTCGAGGTTCGAAACGTTCGAGCACAAAAATATTGAATACCTCAAGCTGAGGGTTCGCGTGTAAATACGTTTAATCATTGACATTTCGCATCGTTTCCTCTTTTTATTGTATCATAATATGGAATGTATACACAGACGAAAATACATGTATACTTGAGAAAAGTACGAGATTAGCCTTGCCATCATCAATTACTCATTGTCAGACACAACTACAGACATCCCTAATCGGAAACGTAACTTATGATTATCAGTATCAATTTCGTAATGTACGGAATTAATTTATCTCGCGTCAAACGACTTTAAAGAAACGAATACATCTTTTATGCGACGAGATCAACGAGAAGACTTGATCTTCTATTGAAAAGAAAGACACGGGTGACTCGACGATACAATTACGTCGAGCCAGTTACCAATTCGATGAAGGGGGAATCACTCTTGGTGATCCTGACTCATTGTAGAATACACGAATACAGTAAGCGTGGCGAGCGTTTCGCTTTGTGTGCTACGCGTGTACGTTCAGTGTAAGTGTAGTAGACCAGACGCCAGTACATACACGCGGTTTACCTAGTCAGAGTTACGACGGAATACGTTTTTTCAACAATGAATCGACCTGTCTTCATTCTCTAATTAATGCGGTAACAATTAACGACTTTATAAAATAATGACGAACACTCCGACGCACGTGAATGTGAGAATAAACAGCAGCATCGATGACGTCGTTGAGAATACCGAGAACGACGAGGATGACAGAGTAAGATTGTTGAAACCGAGGAACAATTTTGCTTCGTATTCGAACGAAGATATCGACGTTCGGTTTCGGGTAAGAACCAGATTATTTAATGAAGATATATTAAGAATGATGCAAGCTCATAACCTTGCACTGTATTCTCTCTGTCTCTCTCTCTCTCTCTGGTTGAATAGAACGTTGCCCCAGACCGTGCGTATCAATCGTCACAAAGTATTATCGAAACAGTTTCCAGCAATTCAAGGAGGCTAAACACTGAAGAAATAGCTGCTGGTGCCACTAACTTCTTATCGGCCAATTACGAGGTACACGTCACAATTGTTCTGCTAACATTCGAATTCAATCGCGTCTACGTTTACCGGGAAATCTCCATGTCATTCACCGATTTACATTCCCCACGAGTACTCATCCGTATTTTTACGTTTCCCCAGAGTTTAGACTATGACCCTTGTGAGAATCATCTTCTTCAAAACGAGGAGAGAAAAAAGGGGTACAAGTTTGTAGTCAAGAAGAACATTGCCAGGTGGTTCATCTTTCTGTTAATAGGCATCTGTACAGCTGCGATAGCTTCTTTTGTGGATATATCTATAGAAGAATTAACAAATTTAAAGTATAGTTGCCTAAAATATTGTATCCTTCCGTACTGTACCGCGACTGAAATAGAAATAAATGTAATAGTATACATTATATCTTATCGTTCCTTATATATTAACGAAAGACGTTGATTCGTGCGTAAACGATTGCATATGGTTACCGTATCTATTATGGTTGGCCCTCAATTTTTTACCAGTCTTGGTAGGAGCCGTTTTGGTCTCCTACGTGGAACCTGTCGCTGCAGGAAGTGGCATTCCACAAGTAAAATGTTATTTAAACGGTATCAAAGTACCGCGAGTAGTACGTATTAAGACGTTAACGGTAAAAATTATAGGAGTAATTTGCACGGTGGTCGGTGGTCTGGCCGGTGGCAAGGTGGACATTATTTACTTTTGTTTGTCCGTCCGTTGAAAAGGAAGCTGATTGAACGCGAGATAATTGTAGGAAGGACCCATGATTCATTCCGGGGCTGTGGTAGCGGCAGGGATATCGCAGGGAAAGAGCACTACATTTAAGAAGGATTTAGGTATATTCAAATACTTTCGAGAGGACCACGAGAAACGAGACTTCGTCGCGGGAGGAGCGGCTTCCGGGGTGTCCGCCGCATTTGGAGCACCGATCGGTAAACAACGACGAAACGTAACGCTGATACGTTATAAATACTAATCCGTTGATTAAAAATAATGTAGGAGGAGTGTTGTTCAGTATCGAAGAGGGAACCAGCTTTTTCAATCAGAGTCTCACGTGGCGAACATTTTTTGCTAGCATGATTACTACGTTCACGCTGAACGTCATCCTTAGCACATATCACGGTCGGCCCGGTGACCTTTCTTATCCAGGCCTACTGAACCTTGGGAAGTTCGAGTCGATCCCTTATCAAATTTACGAAATACCATTGTTCATGATAATGGGAACGATCGGTGGACTCCTGGGCGCTGGTTGGAATCACGTGAATTACAAGATCAGCTGTTTCCGCCTGAGATATGTGAAAAGAAAATGGTTGAAGGTGATAGAAGCTCTCTCGGTCGCCGCGATAGCCGCAACGATGGGCTTCACGATGCTTTACTTCATCGACGATTGTAAACCGCTGGGACAAGATCCGACCAAATTTCCTGTTCGGATGTATTGCAAGGAAGGCGAATATAGCGCGGCTGCGGCTCTGTGGTTTCAAACGCCGGAAAGCAGCGTGAGATCTCTGTTTCACGATCCTAAGGGTACGTCCGGAACTGCGCGAGTCCTTTTGATCGTTTCCGACGAAAATGATCGATCTTTTGTCGCACGTAGGTTCCCATAGAGACGTAACTTTAGCAGTTTTCGTTGTCCTGTACTTTTTCTTGGCTGTTGCTACCTTCGGTTTATCTATGTCCAGCGGACTCTTTATACCATCGCTTCTGATCGGTTCCGCATGGGGTAGATTGATCGGATCAGGCCTCGCGCAAACATTTCCAAATTGCGTAAGGCTAACGTGCAACAGATTAAGTCGAAAAAAATATTGGGCTTATTATATGTAAACTTGGGTATAATTGCAGGTCGTTCTAGATCCCGGAAAGTATGCTTTGTTAGGCGCGGCCGCTCAATTGGGGGGAGTCGTTAGAATGACGATAAGCTTAACAGCTATCCTAATAGAAGCTACTCAAGGAATATCCTTCGGTCTGCCAGTTATAATAGTGCTTATCATGGCTAAATGGGTTGGAGACTTCTTCAACGAGGCATGGGAATATTTTACAGGCTACAAATCGGTATCAGACAAACACCTTTCATCATATCGATTTCCTTCTTCAGGGGATTTATGAAATTCATACGCAAATGGCCGGAGTTCCCATATTACCGTGGGAACCTCCGCCGCTATCGAATAACATATATGCTAGCGAGATAATGAACCACCCGGTAGTAACGTTGAGAACGGTAGAAAATGTAGGCCACATCTTAGAACTCCTTAAATGCGTTACGTTTAACGGATTTCCCGTAGTTGATCCTCCTAACAGCGATCAGGTAACTCAAACGTTTACTTCTACACGAAATTTATTGCTCTACTTACGATCGAACGTGTTACAGATGGAAATCCACTCTTACCGGAGACTTCGAGGGTTGATATTACGTTCCCAGTTAATAGTATTGTTGCAAAATAAAATGTTTAACCAGTACGAGGAGAAATGGGAAAAGTGCTTAGATATTAAAATGTTCAGAAAGGAATATCCCAGATACCCTACGATCGAGCAAGTGATGATAACGGAGGTTGAAAAAACATATAGCATCGATTTAAGACCCTTCATGAATCCTTCCCCTTATACTGTGCAACATGTTAGCATCTTCATACTTTCTTAGTTTGAAGATTATAAATACGAATATTTTATTAATCGTTTCTACCCCACAGTCTGCCACACTGCCACGAACGTTCAGGCTTTTCAGAGCTCTGGGACTTCGACATTTACTGGTAGTCAATGATACGAACGAGGTACACTCATAGATTCATATTCAAATACCATATTGCAGTATAAGAGATACATGTAGTAAACTGCACGTTTCCTTTAGGTGATCGGAATTATTACGAGAAAAGATGTTGCCAGATTTAGGATATGGAAACACAGAGGACGAATGGGGCTAGACGAGTTATTAATATCCAATAAGATCTAGTTTAGTTTTATTATCTGACTCAGGTATTAACGTATCAGAAGATAAAAATAAGATATAGTTTTTCTATATGCTTGTAAAAGAGAATTGAAATATAATATTTAT